AACTTTCATTAACTTATTTCCATCGACCTCCTCACACCTCCCTTTTTGTATTCTAGTTATTAATTATCTCAGCAAATCCTTTCCATCTTTCACAATATTCTGTCATTAAATTACCTTAATCTATTTTAACCTTATCTTACCATAAAAAACCCTAAAGCTTAAAACTTAAATCTTATTTATACCTAATTCTTTTAACCATAACATTCTTACATAATTCTTTTTAACATTTCTGCTAAAGCCAAATAATTTCATTCCAACATTTTTCTAATACTCATTAATTTTACGATGATTTTCTAAATAATTTTTTAAAACTTTCTTCCAATCTTCATCCATCGTCTCTTCTTCCTGGTCTCGGGTTTTGTCAGTCCTTTCTATCCCATCCATCTAGTCCATCAACCTGGTGACCTTCTATCCGAGGCTCTTAAGTCTTTTCCATGTCCCTTCCGCAGGTCTTCTTCATGTTTATACCTGTACTTTACTTTGTCTTCTGCTGATCTTATTCTTAATTTCCTTCCTTTCTCTCGGGGAGACTCCAACTTGACAATATCTTTGTCCATTCTCGACAAGTCAGCCCATTCTCCATAGTCAACACTGTAATCCATGTGATATTTAAAGGCATGTTTCAAAGTCCCTCCAAAGTTAAGGGCCCCCACAACTCACAACTCCCCCCGGCCCAAAGCCAGACTCGGAAGGTCAAAACATCCATGCATAGGGGGATCCATCCAGCCCGCCATCTCCAAGCCAAACAGAACTCCATCTCTCCAAATCTGACTTTTTCCAGGTTCATTCGTCAAATACAACAACTCATGTTTCTGCTGGGCCGCAGCTCTCTCCATTTCTGCTACTTGAGGTTCAGCAACAACTTCCTCCTTTATCTGGTCTGTCAAAGCACATTCCTGGATTAATTCCTGAGTGGGTTCTATATAAGTATTCACTGTTTCTCCAAAATTTTCGACTGCAACAGTCATCAAATCCATCTTCTCATGTAACTGTTCCAATAAAGCACTTGTCTTGCAAAGAGCAAGCACTAAAGCTGCTTCTAAGCACATTCTTGTTCAAGGTCAAAGTCTGGTCCCACGATCTTTAATCTCTGCAGCTGCAAAGCTCCCCAGTTCGACTCTAATAACAGTTTCACAAGCTCCCTCTAGGGGAAACAATTTCTATTTGTATCCATCTTTTTAAAAGCAGATCTAGCAACAAAGTTCCTTTCCTTTTCAGATATTTTGTTCCTTTTAAATGCAAAAGGGAGCAATGGAATCAATATGTTTCTCTTTTTTTAACTATGTCAAAAACGTTTGTCCACAGTCAATGAACTTCCCCAAAGCGTCTGTCCTGACACCCCACTCCCAGGTTCAAGACGGTGGAAATTTATCTTTCTTTACTCTCTCTTCTGCAGGTTTAAACAGTTTAAAAAAGATTCCCCCCTCTTCTCCTGCTTCCAAGGGGGGTTCAGTAGTTTTAAATGATGAAAATTTAATCCTTTACAAACGACTTTCCAGACTCTAGCTTGCAATGTCTTTGCTTCAATCTATTTACAAAAGCGGGAGGCGGACTTCCTGTTTAGACCTTCCCGCTTCGGTGCCAAATTAAGAAATTTCATAGTCCAATTTTCCGTTCTACTCTCGGGCAGTTGTTTAAAATCCAATTGTCAACAGGAAAAAGTCAGCGCTCTCCGGCAACAGCAATGCGGCTTCACTCCGTGAAAGAAGCAGTCGATTCGAAGCACCGCGCCATTCACCCCACGTCGCTCTGGATCCCCGAAACCGGGTTTCCCCGCGAGTAGGGGAGGCGCTAAAGGTGCCAGCCGAATCCCACGTCCACAGGCTTCTCCCGCCTGTGGTTTTTAGTGGGTCTCCGCCTCGCCGTGGCGGTCCTGACCCTGATTCTCACGGAGCGGATTCCTCCCGATCAGAGGAAATCCGCCATTGCCAGAGGCGCTAACCCGGAAGTCTTAACATTTCCCATCTTAATTCCAGACTTCCTTCCTCCCATGTAACATGAGGGAACTTCCAGACTGTGGGATTCGATTGCATATGATCAATTTCAGGTTGTGCAATTATTATGGGTGGCAAGCTCTTGTGCAACTAACCCGCTTGCCCAGAAGACCGGACTTTTGGGCCACGAGGAAAGTTTTGGGGAAATCCACTGGAAAATGTGAGAGCCAGCATCTAACCTCTCTGCAAACCAGTCAGGATGCTTGCTCAGTAAACAGGTTGCCTGGCAATGCCTGGAGAATAAGACCAACATGATAGAATTTATTGAACATGATAGAAATTTTTAAAATCATGCACGTCGTGGAGAAAGCGGAGAAAGAACAGTTTTCCTCCCTCTCTCACAGCACGAGAAATCGTGGGCATCCGATGAAGTTGAATGTTGGAGAATTCAGGACAGAGAAAAGGAAGTTTGCCTGACTTTGTTCCTGGTTGATGTTTCACTGTGTTTGATGTTTTAATTTGTTGGAAGCCACCCAGAGTGGCCGGGGAACCCAGTCAGATGGGTGGCATAGTAATAATTATGTTACATAATAATACTTACATTACACTCAATGGTATAATATTGGAAAATGTCGGTCACTTCTCCTACCTGGGCAGTTACCTTTCCACAAGGGCTGACATTGAGGCCGAAATCCAGCATCACCTGAGCTCTGCGAGTGCAGCTTTCTGCCAATTGAAGCGCAGAGTGTTTGAGGACCGGGACATTTGCAAGGAAACCAGAATGCTTGTTTACAAACCTGTTGTACTACCAACCTTACTGTATGCTTGTGAAACATGGACCACTTATAAATGCCATCTCCATCTCCTTGAAAGGTTTCATCAACAGTGTCTCCAAAAATTTTACACATCATCAGGAAGACAGGTGAACTAATACCAGCGTACTGGAAGAAGCAAAGATCGCCAGTGTCAAAGCGATGATTCTTCAACATCAACTTCGTTGGACTGGACATGTTGTGCGGATGCCTGATGATCGCCTTCCAAAGCGACTACTCTATTCCAAACTTAAAAATGGAAAGTGTAATACTGGTGGTCAACAAAAGAGGTTTAAAGACACTCTCAAGGCAAATCTTTTAAAAAATGTAGTATAAACACTGACAACTGGGAAACACTGGCCTGCAAAAGGTCCAGTTGGAGAACAGCCTTGACCAAAGGTGTCCTGGGCTTTGAAGACACTCGAACTCAGGACAAAAGGGAGAAACGTGCTAAGAGGAAGGCACGCTTGACAAGCCAGGATCAACTCCTGCCCGGAAACCAATGTCCCCACTATGGAAGGACGTGTGGATCCAGAATTGGCCTCCACAGTCCCTTACGGACTCATTGTTAAAACCGTGTTTATGTAAGACAATCTTACTCAGCTACGAGTGATTGCCAAAGAAGACGTAGAAGAAGAAGATGCTGGTGATGATGATAATAATAATAATAATAAATAATGCATCATATTTCATTGTAACAATGGAAATTGCAAATAAAAATGATCAAACACACACAAATAATTTCCTTCTGTTCCAGCATTGCACATATCAAGGGGACATGGGGCGGTGTGTGTGTGTGTGTATGATTGTGTGTTTGTGTGATGGTGAATGACAACCTGGACCAAAGGAGAGCAAGTGACCTGCTGGGGGCTTTGAATTCTTTGCAGAGATGAGCTGGAGACCAGGAAGTAGGGATAAGCCCAGATCCGTGTTTGGGGCAGGAAAGCGTGATGGAAATGCCAGCAGGGGAGGCCTTTGCAGACAAAGTCTGGGCTCAGTAGCTCAGAGACCCCCAGCGGCACATCCTAGGGACACAAAAACACCTCCGGGCCACTGAGCAGGTGGGGCAGGCCCCCCCCCCCCAGGCCTCCTTTTTTGTCATATTACGGATTTTTATATGATGGATGGGTGTTCTGTATTATTTATTAACACTATTGCCAAATGCAAGTTAGTCATGGCTTTTGGCTAGAACAATAAACCTATTAACTTGAATTTCTGCATTTTTCATCTTTATTGGTTTTTAAAATACATCACAGTTATCCTTCTCCATCAAAAATATACACAAAAGAAATCCTGAAGCGTTGGAAATAAAGTAAAGTTGCATAGTGAAGTATTGAGACTTTCCTCTACCCCAACATGGGTCCTCTACATTTATGTATTAACTGCATATTGAATAATGTCTAGTTTATATTTATCCATTATTTCCATAAGTTATGTCACATTGCAGGAGTCATTCAAGGCCTGCCAAAGATTTCAGGTGTTTGCAGTGATCTCTTGGGTATTGTCTGTATTTATCCCACTCTCTGTCGCCATGATTCTTAATTTTCCCTGATAATCTTGCCATCTCACCGTACTCAAATAATTTCATCTGCCATTCCATTTTTGTTGGTATTATCTCTTTTCCAGCATTGGGCTAATAGCATTCTCGCGGCCGTGGTTGCATACATGAGTAACGTCCTCAAATCTTGCGGTATATCTACACCTATAATACCTAGAAGAAAGGCTCCAGGTTTTTTTTTTGGCAAAGGTTAATTAAAAAAAAATTAAGCTCATTGTAAATCATATCTCAAATTCCTTTATCTTTTTGCATTCCCACCACATATGGTACATAGTTCCTTCTATTTCTTTGCATTTCCAACACAAGTTAGAGCTGGTTCTGTACATTTTTGTTAACTTGCTGGGCGTCAAATACCATCGACACAGCATTTTCAAATACAGTGGTACCTTGGTTTACGAACTTAATCCGTTCCGGAAGTCCGTTCTTAAACCGAAACTGCTCTTAAACTGAGGCACACTTTCCTTAATGAGGCCTCCTACTGCTGGTGCCCTTCCACTGTTCAGATTCCGTTCTTAGACCGAGGTAAAGTTCTCAAACCGGGACACTACTTCTGGTTTTGCGGAGTTCGTAAACCAAATTGTTTGTAAACAGGACTGTTCTTTAACCAAGGTACCACTGTAGTTTTCTTTAAGGGTGTAACGCGCCATGAACTTTAGATTCTCTCTCCAAAGTTTATCCCATGCTGACCTTTGAATGTTATATCCAAAATCTCTAGCCCACTGAATCATCACTGATTCTACTTCCTCATCTTTCACTGACCAATCCAACAAAATCCTGTACATTTTAGAGCGTAATTTCTCCTTAACGCTTATTAACTTGGAATTCACCCCTGCATCTTTGCACGTTTCTCCTCCTGGGCTGTGACGCTTGGTGGCTTACATGTCTGATTCTTTCCTTTCCTTACGTTTGCACTTTTCTATTTGTTAAGAAATCATTTGTTTTAAAAAAGGTTTTAAGAGGCAGGAGACGGAGGGGAGGACAGGCGAGTTTGTGCAGACCCCCCAGGAGCAAAAGGGGAGGAGATGGGAAGGGCATCTGAAGACCCTCTCCCACCTCCACCCTCCCACCCCGGCAAATTGTGTGGCCAAATTCTTTCCTGGATGCAGGCTCTGGATCCTGGGATGGGGGAGGGGGAGAAGGGGGCCTGTGGGGGGTTTCCATCTGACTGGGCAGAGTGAACCCAGAAAGCTGCATTGACGTGCGGGAAGAATGCTCCAATCCCAGACGCTCCAGATGTTCCCAAGCTGGTGACTCTTGTAGGCTATAAATGCCCCCATCCCAAGGAGCCATCTTCTGCTTTCTTCAGTTCCTGTCCTCCGGAGCAGAGAGCTCGTCCGCCTTGCCACCCCCTCCACTGGAGCATCAGGTAAGTAGGGGGGGGGGTCTGCAGAGTGGGCTGGAGGGACTGTGTCCAGTTCTGGGCACCACAATTCAAGAAGGACACTGACAAACTGGAACGTGTCCAGAGGAGGGCAACCAAAATGGTCAAAGGCCTGGAAACGATGCCTTATGAGGAACGGCTAAGGGAGCTGGGCATGTTTAGCCTGGAGAAGAGGAGGTTAAGGGGTGATATGATAGCCATGTTCAAATATAGAAAAGGATGTCACATAGAGGAGGGAGAAAGGTTGTTTTCTGCTGCTCCAGAGAAGCGTACACGGAGCAATGGATCCAAACTACAAGAAAGAAGATTCCACCTAAACATTAGGAAGAACTTCCTGACAGTGAGAGCTGTTCGACAGTGGAATTTGCTGCCAAGGAGTGTGGTGGAGTCTCCTTCTTTGGAGGTCTTTAAGCAGAGGCTTGACAGCCATATGTCAGGAGTGCTCTGATGGTGTTTCCTGCTTGGCAGGGGGTTGGACTCGATGGCCCTTGGGGTCTCTTCCAACTCTATGATTCTATGACTTGCACTGGGGTGGAGTTTGAGACCCGATGGTGCCTGGAGGAGAGACTCATTTATTTCCCCCTTTCCAAAACAAGGGAGTTTTGGGTTGTTGGGGAACACTTTGAACATAAGAAACGAAGAAGAGCATCTTCTGGATCAGGCCAATGTCCCATTTAGTCCAGCTTCCTGTTCTGACAGTGGCCACCCAGATGGCTTTTCTGGGACACCCACAATCAGGCTTCGAACACAAGACCACTGCTCCCTTGTGGCTTCAAGCTACTGGGATTCAGTGCTGCCTCTGTAGAGGGACAGCATAGCCATTGCGGCTATTAGTCACAGACAGCTTTATTCTCAATTAATTTGTCCAATCTTTGTTTAAGTTGGCCATCTCTGCCTCATGTGGCAGGGAGTTCCATCATTCAACTATGCGCTGTGTGAAGAAAGACTTTCTCCTGGATTCAGATCTTCCAGCTTAATTGAAAGCCCACGAGTTCTGGTGTTTATTAGAGAGGGAGGAAAACTTTTTTTTTCCTGTCCACTTTCTCCAGTTGGATAGGGGGGTGACCAACAGAACGCCGTGTTTAGTTTCTCCAGACCAATTTGGAGGCTATTAATATTTGCATATGTATTAGGATAATAATACCCTCCCTCTCTCCAGGGACAGGCTGGCCGGCCCAGACTCCACAAGCGGCCCCCTCCCTCCCAAGAGATGCAGGAGGCAGCGCGTCCCCCCAGACCTCGCCACAGGTTGGTCCTGGGCACCTTGGCATGGCTCTGCCTCTGGGAGACTCTGGCGCTGGATGACGGGTAAGGAACGGATGCCTCCCCCCCCCCATCCTCCTTCTGGGGCTGTCCATGTCTGTGCAGGCGCTGTTAGCACTTATTTTGTGTGTGTGTGTATTTTTCCTTTATCATTTCACTATTATAAATTAAAAAATAATATTTATTAAAAACATATGTATATGTTTGTGTTTTTAATCTGTTTGTGTAAAATAGAAAATGCAACTATATATATATAATATTTATTAAATTTTAAAACATGTAAGGAAAAGACCACCCCTTCATTGATGTATGTATGATGTTTTGGGGGGTGGCCTTGAGCTAGAGGGTGGGCAATTTCAAAAGTCTGTATAAGGGCTTGTGCGCATGGCTCGGGGTTCTCTCCCTCCCTCCTGCGTGTGGAGAATGGGGACCCTGTTGCAACAGAACAATAAAGACCAGGCTTACTAGCTGCCTTGCTTCTCAATCTTCTCTGGTTTGCCTCTGTTACTATCTCCTACCAATAGGGAACCCACTTAAGGACTCTGTATGGGCTCTTGGATACCCCATAAGGGAAAAGGAGCAGGTTTTTTTCTTATAACAGCATGGTTGTTCAAAGTGGTACCCATGTGCTTTAGTTGAATGGTGGCAGAGGTGGCCTAAGGGGTCCAAAGTAAACCTATTGAAGCTAATGAGCTTCCTTGGCCCCTGCCTGCGAAGGCAGGTAAGAATCATCTTGAGAAACTTGATGCCACTTCTTCAGGGCCAGATTTAGGTTTGATGCGGCCCTCAGCTACTGAAGGTAATGGGGCCCTTTACAAGTCCAGCTGTCCTTTGTCAACAACAAATTGTCACTGTTTTTTTGTGTTGAATCTATGCTATAGGGTCATTTATGGACCTCATAGGTATCTCAAGCCAACTGCACACAACAAAATACGTATTTTATCAAAGTCATTGTTGAACTGAAATACAACGAAGAAGTATATTAATAGTGAAATAATTATTAAGCTCTAACTTAAAATGATTTTTTTTTCATAAGAAACTTAATAATGCAAACACACTGGCATTTGGCAAGAACGAAAGTTCCTTTAGAAACACAATTTACAAGGACTCATCGTCTAGTCTCTAGAAACTTCCCTATAACATGAAATAATAATAGGTGTAAATATATGATGCAAACTACTAATAATTATAACTAGCAGAATGTAGGCACCCTATATATAGAAAGGAGCAAACCAGGGATATTTGAGGGAGCAGGCTAGCAGGCGGAGCCCAAGACTTACATCACAGGAGCTGACACAACACAAAACACTGTTGCTGGATGTAGGTTTTATTTTATTTGCTTTTTATCTTATATTTTGGAAATGTACATCCAGGTTTTGTCCTTTAATTTTTTGGGGGGCCCCAAGAGAGTGGGGCCCTGAGCTATGGCTTGTTCAGCTTATACATAAATCTGACACTGCCCCAGTCAGAAGGAGAAGGCTGGCATGGAGGTCCTGGGCAGGAAGGCCAAAGGTGCCCGGCTGGCACTCAGCTGCTGCTCCCTCAAGGGCCTCGTTCCCCCGCAGGCGCTGGTGCGAGAGGATGGTGCAGGTGATGGAGGAGGAAGTGGTCAGCCCCCGGCGGGAGGAGATGGTGCCCTGCGCCGATGTCTACCAGTACAACATGGCAGGCTGGCACCTCGACCAGGACCGGATGCGCCAGGCTCACGCAGGGCAGAAGGCCAGACTGGCACCACCAGCATGTGCTACATCTACAAGTGAGTAGGGCGGCTGGGGGGGTGGGCAGGGAGAAGGGGAGGACCCCCTAGCATGAGCTAGAAGAGGGTGGGAGAATCGAGGCAGACCCTCTAAGTGCTCCTATTTTCCAGGGACGTCCCTGATTTGGAGAAGCCGTCCTGGTTTCTGAGTGTCCTGCTTTTCCTTAGGACGTCCTGGGTGGCGCTGTGGGTTAAACCACAGAGCCTAGGACTTGCCGATCAGAAGGTTGGCGGTTCGAATCCCCCGCGATGGGGTGAGCTCCCGTTGCTCGGTCCCTGCTCCTGCCAACCTAGCAGTTCGAAAGCACATCAAGTGCAAGTAGATAAATAGGTACCACTCTGGCGGGAAGGTAAACACCGGTTTCCGTGCGCTGCTCTGGTCCGCCAGAAGCGGCTTAGTCATGCTGGCCACATGACCCAGAAAAACTGTCTGCAGGCAAACGCCGGCTCCCTTGGCCAGTAGAGGGAGATGAGCGCCGCAAACCCCAGAGTAGTCCGCGACTGGACCTAACAGTCAGGGGTACCTTTGCCTTTACCTTTACATTGATTATTGCTTTCATTTTATGGATCAGTGCTCTCGTTAGATAGTAAAATTCATGTTAAATTGCTGTTTTGGGGGTTGTTTTTAAAAGTCTGGAACGGATTAATCCATTTTGGGTTAATTTCTATGGGAAAAGTGTGCCTTGGTTTTGGAACGCTTTGCTTTTGGAACGGACTTCCGGAATGGATTAAGTTTGAGAACCAAAGGTACCATTGTATTGCAAAGGGTGGGGACCACCTGACGGATATCTCCTCAGGGTTTCCAGGTAAGGCAGATGCTGCAAACGCTTTGGAAAAGCTCTCTATAAAGACGAAGGGTGATGATTAGTTGGGAATATCGACTTCAGTCGTGGAGCACGGCTGTTTTACGTACGTTGGGATAAACAACCCTACAACTTGAGCCAGTTTCTTGTCCTCCTCTCCTACAGGATGTGAGAAATCAGAGCTTTATCTTCTTCTTCTTCTTCTTCTTCTTCTTCTTCTTCTTCTTCTTCTTCTTCTTCTTCTTTTGCTGTTCTGTCCTTGCAGGCCGGAGGACACGAGACCCACGCTCTGGAACCGCACGGTGCGCGCTTGCTGTGAGGGCTGGAGCGGACCCCATTGCTCGGAGGGTAAGGTCGCCACAGAGGTGGGCCCCAGAGGCGGGTGGGTGCCCATTCTCCAGAGAAAAGTCTTTATTGAACATATTTCACAGATTTATACATCAATATACTATATTACCATTTATATCCCATCGCATACAGAAGAAAAAATAAAAATACAAGAAATTTAAAACAAAAAAAGACCTAAAATAAACTTCCAATTTTTCTAAAAAAAACAACACCTAAATCACACTTGCTATATTTTACACAGTATCACATTATTATATTGTTTCCTTAAATCTTTTTAATAAAGAAGAAATAAAAAGAAAAAAGGTTAAATAGAAGCATTTGTTTTAAATATATTATCTATACATTGGAAGACTCATTCAAGATCTGCCAGGAGGTTTTTGCTGTCACAGTAATTTTTCAAATATTATTTGAATACAATCCATTCTTGATTTACATTTTGTGTAGAAAAAAGTACCCTCTTCCCCTCCCTGTCATTTTTGCCATTTGCAGATATTCTAACAGTTTAACTTGCCATTCTGATTTTGTAGGTGCTATTTCGTTCTTCCAATATGTTGCAATTAAAATTCTGGCTGCGGATGTTGCATACATAAAGAGTGGTCTTGCTTCTTTTTTAATTTCAGTCGACATTATCCCTAACAAGAAGGCTTGTGGTCGTTTTTGTGAATGGGACGCCCCTATTTTCATTGGAGAAATGTTGGAGGGCATGGGGTTATTCAACCCCTGAGCTACCTGAAGGCAGCTCTGTATAGGGCAGGTTTTTAAAAATGTTTAATGTTTTATTGTGTTTTTATATATGTTGGAAGCTGCCCAGAGTGTCTGGGGCAAACCCAGTAAGATGTGTGGGGTATAGATGGTAAAATTATTATTATGGAACGGGATGTCCCTGTTTTCACTGGATAAATGTTTTAAATGATAATTTTAGGTTATATTTTAGTGCTCAAGATTCAATGTATATTTTTAACTGCTGTTAAATCTGAATTGTCTCTGTTAAACCCGACTGCAATTCAATGTATTCCTGTTGCATTTTATGATTTTTCTGATATCGTAAGTGAGCCGGAACTGGTCTGTGACCGTAATCATAAAATTCAATTCAATTCACCTGGAGAAATGTTGGAGGGTGTGGGTTTCTCTTTCTCCCTTTCTCATCTCTTTCTTCCCTGCCGTTCCAGGAAAGGCGTCTCTCGGCCGCTGCTTCTCCACCTGGCAATGCCAAGACGTGCCTGGACTGAAGAACATCTCTCTGCTGGGCATGGAGGAGTGCTGCCAACGCCCCTGGGGGCACAGCTGGCAGAACGGCTCCTCCCAGCTCTGCTTCAGCTGCTCCCACCTGCCTCTGAAAGGTGGGCACCCCTCAGGTCTCCTCCTCCTCCTTTGCCAACCGGGTGCCCACTGGACTACAGCAGTGGGCAGTGGAATTCCTGGGGGGCGCTAAGAGGCGAGGGGGTGGCAGTGGGGTGCGGCAGGTGGGTCCTTCTGAGCCAGCTCCGCCCGTGGAGCATAAAACTTGTAATTTCAGGGTCACAGGTTCACGTTTCACACTGGGCGAAAGGGGGTTGGACTAGATGACCCTCAGGTCCCTTCCAATTCGAGGACTCTATGAAACATCTGTTAATGTTCAATGACCATGACTGAGCAGGCCAGAGCCTTGAGTGAAGAAGCGAATAATAATAATAATAATAATAATAATAATAATAATAATAGCAACAAAACAACAACAACAATAATAATTACCACCCCAGCCACTCTGGGTGGCTTCCAACCAAATGTCAAAAACAATACAGCATCAGACATTAAAAATTTCCCTGAACAGGGCTGCCTTCAGGTGTCTTTTAAAGGGAAGATAGCTGCTTATTTCCTTCACATCTGAAGGGAGGGTGTTCCACAGGGCGGGTGCCACCACCGAGAAGGCCCTCTGCCTGCTTCCCTGTAACCTCACTTCTCCACAGGGAGGGAACCACCAGAAGGCCCTCGGAGCTGGACCTCAGTGTCCGGGCAGAACAATGGGGGTGCCACCACCGAGAAGGCCCTCTGCCTGGTTCCCTGTAACCTCACTTCTCACAGGGGAGGGAACCACCAGAAGGCCCTCGGAGCTGGACCTCAGTGTCCGGGCAGAACGATGGGGGTGGAGACTCTCCTTCAGGTCTTACTGGACGGAGGGCCGTTTAGGGCTTGAAAGGTCAGCACCAACACTTTGAATTGTGCTCGGAAACGTACTTCCCTCCCAATAGCCCTCATCCTCTTTTAAAGCCATCCAGGTTGGCGGTCATCCCCAGCCTCCTGTGGCAGGGAGTTCCACTGTTTTACTCTGTGTTGCACAAAGAAGGAACTTCCTCTGATGTGATCTGCCAGGCTTGTCCTCTCCCTCTGACAGCTCTCGTCCCTCTTTCTCCCCAGATGACCTGCCTCGCCCTTCCTGCTCCGTCCCCCGTCCCCCACGGCGCTTCTGGTCAGCTCGGCTCGGCACCGCCGGCACCGCCACCCCTTTGCCACCTGCGCCACCTGGGCCGGCTTCCACTACCGCAGCTTCGACGGCAAACACTTCCGCTTCCACGGCAGCTGCGCCTACACCTTGGCGGCCGCCTCCGATGGCACCTGGGCCGTCTACCTGTCCGCCGGCGGTGAGGGATGCAAGCCCGGCCACTGCCAAAAGGTGAGGGACGTCGGCCCCACATGCCAGGCATGGCCAGAGGGGGGCAGGTCCTGGATCTCTGCCCCTGTCCCAAACACGTCTGTTCTGCAGGAAGGACGGCGAGGAGGATGGGTGGATTTCGCACCCAGAACCAGTGGTGGGAAGCTGGTTGCGACTGCTGGTAGGGCGGAAGGCAGGGAGGCTGCCAGTAGGTGGCGCCAGAGCCAAGGAAAGGCAGAAGTCCCCCACAGCACTAACAGTAACAGTTATTAAACTTCACAAAGGTGCCTTATAAGAGTGAATATAACCCAGCAGAGAGTTTTAAAACAGCAAAGACAGAGACTGCAGAGACAGCAGAGAAAGGGGAAGAACCATTTATTTAGAATTAGCCAAACTGACAGATATAATAAGACAAAAACCAAAAAGTGAAGTGAAAAAGGAATGGGAGTGCCTAAATGAATACCTTAAAAGCTGAGGTTCGAGGACAGAAATCTGGCTGAGTCTGGAATAACCTTGTGAAGTGAAAGGATAAGAAAGAGGGATTTATATCTAGATGCTGGGATGGAGATGATAAGGAAAACAGGAAGACACAATGAGAGGTCAAGGAGGTGCTTTGGGATTGATGGAAGCCAATGTTTGTTTTTCTTTTTAGTGTTTATATTATTAACTTGTAATATATGGATTTGGGGTTTTTTGTATACTGGTTTTTGTGTGTATTTTTTTTAATATTTTTCTTGTGTGGGAAATACTAATAACATTCATTTTTAAAAAAGAGAAAAGAAAGGCAGAAGTCAACACCTGGATTCTACAAGGGCAGGGGTCAGCAAACTTTTTCAGCAGGGGGCCGGTCCGCTGTCCCTCAGACGTTGTGAGGGGCTGGACTATATTTTGAAAAAAAATATATGAAAGATTTCCTATGCCCCACAAATAACCCAGAGGTGCATTTTAAATAAAAGGGCACATTCTACTCATGTGAAAACATGCTGATTCCTGGACCATCCGCGGGCCGGACTGAGGCGGCGATTGGGCTGGATCTGGCCCCCGGGCCTTAGTTTGCCTACCCATGTACAAGGGTAACCCGGAGGCGAAAGAAACGGCCAGGCAGGGCTGGCGGCAAATAAGATGGCAAGTGGACAAGTGGAGCCTGGCTGAGGGCAAAGCGAGGCTGGTGGGGCAGTGCCCCCCTAACCCACAGCGGACAAGCCTCCGCTGCCCAGGAGAACTAGTTTTTGGCAGCCCTAATGCGGATGGAGGGGGTGCCTCAGAGCATGTGCAGAGTTCCTTCCTTCGCCTCAGAGTAGAAATGCTGTCTGGGAAGAAGGAGTGGACAGATATTTTGCCAGCCCTGCCTCAAATGGGAATGGCCAGCCCGACTGCGCTGTTTCCATGGTAATTATCTGCGTGTTTTTAAAAGATTACAGATACTTTTTTTTATTAAAGCTTTTTTTGATACAACAAGATAAAAATGGGGGGGGAGAAGAAAGAAAAGAGGAAAGGAAAGGAAGGAAGAAAAAGAAAAGAGCTTGTTTTTTAATGATTGTTTCCACTCCCCGCCCCCCCTCATGTTTTCAGTTGTTCTTATTTTTATCTGTGAGCTATGCAATGTTTTAGCCAGTTCAGGCAGCTGCAGTTACTTTGTATTCCCCAAAGAGGAAAACGAAAGTTGAAAGTATCTTCTCCCTTTATGACCTAACAGTGGAGTCTAGCCTTCCCTCACTGGGAGTCTATTTTCTGCCAGATCTATCGAGTGCAAGGTTCCTGTTCTGTCAGAATTCCCCTCCCCCTTCCCCCTGCCCAAAGAGGGGTTTGAAAGTTTTATTTGAATTTTTTTTATAAAAAAGATTTTTTCAGGTTGCGGCTTCGGTCAGCGGTAGCTGCTTTCACTTTTATTTCAGCAGAAAGGGATCGACCTCCGTGTTTAAATCCCTTCCTGTCCAATTATGTATCCAAATTTAGATCCTTTTTACTCACAGTTTCCAATCTTATTTTTTTGGAGAAATTGGTCACTCACGATCGCCGGACGTGGAGCTTCGCGCAGTGAAGAAAGCGAGTCGATTCCACAGTACCCACGTCTCCAACTCCGCTCGCTCTCGGGGCTCTTTTTAGAACTTACCGGGGAGCGGGGGAGTCGCTCAGGGTACCCGCTGGAACACCAGGTCCTCAGAATGCTCAATCTGAGTTTTTTGGGGGGGTTCCGCAATGCTCTCGCGGTCACCCCAATCTTCAAAGAGCTGCGGCTCTTTCAGCCGAAAGAGCTCCCGTCCATCATTAATCAGGCGACCAACCAGAAGTCCTATTAAAGCTTTTTTTGATACAACAAGATAAAAATGGTGGAAAAAGAAGGAAAGAGAAAAGGAAAGGAAGAAAGAAAAAGAAAAGAGCTTAATTGTTTTTTAATGATTTTTTCCACTCCCCGCCCCCCTCATGTTTTTAGTTGTTCTTATTTTTATCTGTGAGCTGCCTTGAGTCCCTGCCAGGGAAAAAGAAGGGCACAAATGATGATGATGATGATGATGATGATGGTGATGTTAGGATGAGTGAAGCTGTCACCTCAGACATCTGAGTTCAGGTGTCATGAAAGGGCAGAAAGATATAATTTAATACTATTTATTGTCTATAATTATTTATTGTCAATAAATTATATTATTTACTGCATACCCCGCCAGATGGGTGGGGTATAAATAATAAAATTATGATTATTATTTTTCACTCCTAGGAAGAGGCACCGGAGGAATTCTCTTTCTCCTAGGGAGAGACCCCCCCCCAATAGTGCTGGCCGCCCTTGGCTCTTAACTCTGTACCTTGGCTTTTGGGGGGAGGGGGGATGGGGCACCCAGAATGCCTTGGGCCAGCCCTGGGACTCTGGCCAGAGCAGGATTTGGGAGCCCCCCAACCTCACGAGACCCTCTTTCCCCACCAGGACCTTCGCCTGCTGTTCGGCCTCGACCTGGTTGTGGCTCAAGGACGGCGCGTATCCGTGAACGGCGCTGCGGTGCCTGAGGGGGAGCCCCGCTTGCAGAAAGGTGAGGAAGCGGGGCAGGCGGTGGGGAGATGGGGGGAGACTTTTTTATTTATTTATTTATATTTTATTAAACAAACATTACAAACATAACATACAAAAAAAAGTAAAAAACAAATTAATGGTACATTAGATCAGTGTTTCCCAACCTTGTGCCTCCAGCTGTTTTTGGACTACAATTCCCATCATCCCTTGCCACTGGTCTTGCTAGTCAGGGATGATGGGAGTTGTAGTTCAAAAACAGCTGGAGGCACAAGGTTGGGAAACACTGCATTAGATATTTCTAAATACTGTATTTTTTGCTCTATAAGACTCACTTTCCCCCTCCTAAAAAGTAAGGGGAAATGTGTGTGCATCTTATGGAGCGAATGCAGGCTGCGCAGCTATCCCAGAAGCCAGAACAGCAAGAGGGATTGCTGCTTTCACTGCGCAGCGATCCCTCTTGCTGTTCTGGCTTCTGGGATTCAGAATATTTTTTTCCTTGTTTTCCTCCTCCAAAAACTAGGTGTGTCTTGTGGTCTGGTGCGTCTTATAGAGCGAAAAATACGGTAGTTATTACAGTATACATAACTGAATTGTC